GTTCGGGGTTCAGGGTTTGGGGTTTGGGTTCAGGGTTTAGGGTTTAGGGTTCAGGGTTTGGGGTTTGGGTTCAGGGTTTAGGGTTTAGGGTTCAGGGTTTAGGGTTTAGGCTTCAGGGTTTAGGGTTCAGTGTTTAGGGCTTAGGGTTTAGGCTTCAGGGTTCAGGGCTTAGGGCTGAGGCTGCTCGCAGCTCAGCTTTGGACGTGCACGCGCGAAGGCCAGAAGCGCGGCGCACTGGCCCGCGGGGGCAATCTCAAGGCCTGTGCAAGGCATGTCAATGTGAAGGTGGCAGGGGGACATGGGTGGTTGTCAAAATTATGATCCCTTTTTGGGTCTTTATTCTAATACGGCACCTATTATTTAGGGTACCCCAAAAGGAACCATAATTTTGACAACTACCTACATGAGGGGCGGTTAGTTACCTCGTAGTTGTAGCCACTAGATCCGCCCCTTGGCTGAACTCTGGTTACTGTACTTTGATAGAAGAAACTTGGATCGTCATGGGACTTAGTAAGTATGGTTATAAGTCTTCGGAATGGGGTTATAATTATAGTTACCTTAGTTCTAACCCTACTTACTAAGTCCCATGATCCTAAACCCTAAACCCTAAACCCCAAAACCCTAAACCCTAAACCTTAAACCCTAAACCAAAACCCTAAACCCTAAACCCTAAACCCGGGTTTGGGGGTTGGAGTTTAGGGTTTAGGGACATTCTCAGATACACCAATGGTCTGAACGCGCCCTTGCTGCCTTGCTCGGGAAGTCGCCGATGAATCACGTGAAGCGAGAGCCTGGCTAGATCTTGCTATGGGAGCTAGGATTCGGGGGACCCTTCGGGTTTAGGGCTTTAGGGTTTTGGGTTTAGGGTTTTAGGGTTTAGGGCTTTAGAGCTTTGGGGATATAGACCCTCTCAATAAGCTCCCTTTTAAGAGAGCCAAATGTAGGGTTCAGAAGGGGTACCCGTTAAGGGGTACCCCTAATAATACTACCTATGCTACCTGTAGTGTTGTGCTGCTACATTCCAGCTTTACGAGTAGTGAGTAGTTCATGCCACCGTCCACCTACAGGTTTAACATCGAGCATCTGGGTATATCCAGGCTCCTGTCTGTCTGAATTCGCTTGGACACAAGCACCAGCGCAGCCTGCAGCTTCTGAGGTCCTGGCGCCCAAACAGCTGAACCTGCAAGAGCCGCGAGCCTGGACCGAAACCCAGTCGACCAGGGAACATTCGAAGTATCAATCGATCCACCGGAGCAAGCTTCACCCTAAACCCTAAACCGTCCCTGGCGGAAATGCAAGCTCAAGAATAGCCAACCGGAAGCCCGGGTCGAATCACCACCGAGTCCAAGTTTTTTTGAACGCCGAGGTTCAGCGCATTGTACGTGACCGGTGACCGTGGCTCGTGGCAGCCTGAACAAGAGAAGCAGAAGACCCCGAGCTGTGGCAGGTTTGGTGCACTACATCAACTCTTGGCTCCGACCTTCGCAACTCTGGG